ATGACATTTTATGAACTTTGAGTTAAATAAATACCCATGCTTACACGTACCATCTAAAAGCCGCGTACCCAGATGATGCTTTTTGTGTATCCCATCCCGAACTGTACCAAGACTTTGGCATGCCTTTGATTCAATATACGTTACACTTGCATGGGTTGCTCCGATCATAATACATGTAGTTACCTTAGTTATAAAGGGACACTCATTAAATGTTCAATCAAAAATTACCTGCGATGTTGTGGTAATTTTAGTTGTGCAAGATTTATTTTTAAGTTCCAAAGCCACAAGTTTCCATTGCCAATAATAATCACAACATCTGTCTGACAGGGTGTGTGATACTAATACATATACACAAGAGTACAAGTTACTTTAATAGTTACTCCACACAACATATTATTTGTTTATCAACAAAGTTTATAATTTTATGTTTGGAACAATTTAAGCCAATAATTGATAGTCTTGTATATTCTCTCTCACAGGGACTTAACTTTCCATCCCCTTCCTCAAAACATTTTAGACACTGTTTACATTATAGAGAAGGCATTTGAAGTACTTTGCAGAAGTGTGGTAAGTTAAGTACATGTATCCCGTAATCTTTATGAGTATTTCAACATCAATGCATTTCTACCTCTGTTTACTATACAAACAATTGTCTTATCCAAGTGTCCTAAGTTTCCTAGCAGTGTACCCAATATTATCCAATTTATTAAGTAAACAAATTTCTTTACTTTGACATGTCTTATGTATTATAATGTAGATCCAGTGTACTTGTTTATCACCTTGGAAAATACTAAAAAGAACTACTTCATTGACACTGATTTAGTTCATGTTTTTGTTTGATTTGTTTTCAGAAGCAAAAAGGGCAGAGGTTTTTAAAAAATATGTTAGATTTGGTTGAGAACCTTGAGAAAGTAAGTATTTCTAACATGCTAGAATTGCAAGTTTAGTGTTATGTATAACTACATGTACTTAAACACCATATTACGCTATACTGCACAGTTTAACACATAAATGAATGTAGAAGAATGTATAAAATGATTTGGTGTCCTAAATAATATAAGTAAATAATAGATGACATTAACAATGTGATATCTTTCTATTTTTATTAGAAACAAGATGCACAAAATGCTTTGGTCAAGGCAATGAGATGTAGTGAATTCATGATTATGAGGTATGTCAACTCTATGACAATTTTGCTCTGTGTAAATCATCATAAAAATGGTACATATCTCGAGTAAATCAAACAATTTTTAATAAACATGTTATCAGTATGTGCAGCTTGTAGGTTTTTGTATGGTTCAAAAACTCCAGAACGAACAATAAACATAGTCCATACTTACATTCTTGAAATATTATTCAAACACTTAGAATATTCTTAATTGTATGTAGTTATACATTCATTAATACATTAATGAATGAATCTCCTCCCTCCAAATTCAGTTTGTCAGATTACGTTAGGTTTTACTGACCTTGAGCCTGATGTAACAGCCATTTTGTTTTTTACATTGTTTCATTGATACTGGAGGAAGATGTATGCATAAAAACAATAGCTTATCATTACTAGCAGAACACAGGTCGTTATCAATCTGAGCCATATCATGAATTACCTAATCATTGCATCAGAAAGGTTTAAAGTTCAGGCTATACTTTGAGTATGTGTTGCATGCATTAGAACTCATTGAACAAGATTCTAAATAACTCTATTTGCTAATGATGGCATGTGAGTCAAACAAATTGTATTTTGATTTGAATATTTATTGCAACAAACTCACACTAATAATTACACTATTTATGCAGACATTTTTAACATGTCATTTAAGTGCATGCCCTTTTAGTAAAGCAAATATGTTAATTAATGTAACATAAAAAGGTTGATATGGACTTCTTCTAATAGTAAAACTAATCGCCACAGTACTTAGGTAACAAAATTACCATAAATATTTAAATATTTACAGCTTAAATCAGTCTGATCAATGAATACAATACTGTAAACTTAATTTTAATTTTGACAACATTTCTCGAGTCATTTGTCGTCATGAATGCCTTAAAATCCTCAAATCATAAAAATATGACAGTAAATATTGAACGTTTCATGGTAGATAATCATATACTCTGATTGATTAGTCTTACCAAGACTGTTTCTATTTCTTTCAGTAATGAGTTAACTGAAATTAGTGATAAACTTTTAGAAGACGTTACTGGAGCACTGATCTTAGTTTCCATGCAGTGTGAGTATGTCAATAGCAGTGATACATAAATCCTTGAATCAGTCAGCCATTATTGTGTATCTGATATACATGTCATTTTCCTACAGTATTGATTTGTGTTGTGTCATTACCCCTGAACGTACTTTTGATTGTTTGGTTTGGACATAGTCAGTATCAAATTCCCTCTGTAAATTAGCCTAATTAAAACGGCCATTTCATGAGGTGTGAATAACTGCAGCCTTGTTTACAATTTTCCGTGTGGGTACTGCAAAGTGCATGAAGGTCGTACCATAAACATGCATGCGAACGAAATGTTTTCCTTCTTGTTGTACTACTATACTGGTCTATTGAGACTGTAACAGTATAAATTGTTATTGTCTTTGCACATTGTCTGTTTTGACTTCTTATTTCATGGAAACAAAGTTTACTACCATTTTAGAATTGAAAATGAATTGGTACAATCAGTAAACTATCAAGTCTTTTGTGAATTTCTTCGGGATCTTTCTATATATAAGACTTATCTGTATTTCAAAGTGATAGTGTTTAGAATTAGATGCAACTTCATGAAGTCGTGTAATTTGGAATGAATTTCCTTTCAGTTTATGATCATGTGATAAAACTAACTCAAAAGGGCTGTAACCTGGAGGAAGAATTCAAAGCTCAAAACAGGAAAAATGCCAAGGTGGGTAAGCTGAGTTGGTAATATATGTATCGTCTTAATACAGTGTGCAGGACAAGTGATACTAACCATTTCACCTTTACTACCAATAAATAAAATTTCTTTATGCTTATCAGACTAGTGATGATATCCGCATGAGGGGTAATAGAGACTTCAAAGAAAGCAAGTACACAGCCGCATGCCATACCTATACAAATGCTATACAATTGGAGTAAGTCCCTTGTTTTGATTTGTCTCTCAAATTATAATATACATGTATAATATTTACGAAACAGGAAGTTAATTTTTCATACGTGTTTTATCTTAGCGCTTACAATGAAAGATTGTATAGTAACCGTGCCTTGTGTTACCTCAAGACTGGTGATTATAGAAAAGCATTATCTGATGGGAAAAGAGCTATCATTGTAAAGCCATCATGGCCTAAGGTAAGCTTAGAATTGTTTGATCAAATATATGTGTCAAAATGACATTTTACAGACTAATTATTGCTTGGAGACACATTATGTCTCTGTGCCCTCCGAAGTAGATGCATAACATTTTTAAATAGACTGTTGATCATGACTTGCTGTTTAACTACCAGAAAGAGTTAAAACACATGACAATCCTGACATATAATTCTTTTTCAAAGATAGTTGAAATAAATTATTGAACTCTCTAAATTAGCTTCATGATGACATCAAAGATATTTTTATCTATCAATTGCTTCCTCTGTGATATGTATTCGTCATTATTGCCTGGCCATCACAGCTGTTGGTCCCTTAGAAATAATTGTCGGCTCTACTATTTATTTCAGGGTCAACATCGATACGCTGAAGCATTGTTTGGTTTAGAACAACATCAGGATGCAGTTAGGGCCAACATGTTGGCTTTGTCAGTGTGCAGGGAAAATGGTTGTTCTGCAACTGAGTTGAGAGAATTGGAAACTCAGAAAGAAAAATTTGCACATAAAGGTACACTGCTCAGAGACTAAAAACTAAAAAATTGCAAACAAAAAAAATGCTCTCCAGGATTCTATCAAAAAAGCAGGTGAAGGTGTTATTACCGGTAACAGTGCCCGCATATACATGTACATTCTCACTACGTGAGTGCTTTATATAGTCTTTAGCTTACTGTGAATAAAAAAGTTACCCAACCAGCAGTAGTGAAATATATCTCACTGTTTTGTGAACAAAATAGCGTTATTGATAGTTTAAATGTAAAGGGTAAGCTGATATCAGTAAGCAGATAAATAGTGCAATACTTTTCGTTTGGGTGCTTTTATCGTTCACAGTAATGAGGTGGTTATCTCATACCTGTATGTATTGGTGATATACACTGTATGTAGATACATGTATGCATGCACTATCACTACAATAGCATATACTTGGCCTTGAATCAGTCTGATATATCGATGTCTTTCTATTTCAGTTCCTTTTAGAGAAACTTCAGTAAATCAAGAAAGGTGAGGGGGTTTATTGATTCCAAAATATTGTTACATTTACAGTTCAGTTTTTATGCACCTTCAAGCACACGTCAAAGGTGTATTATTAGCATATTTGTTTTTAATAGAAACATGCATCCCAAGAAGTACAAATAAACAAAAAAATTGTTATTTACTGAATAATTATAGAAATATTACTTATTTTGACCATAGAAACATCACTGTAATTAGATATTAAGGTGATGCACTACTAACAGAGAAAATATGGTGTATCATTGTCCGCCTTTGTTTGTTATTACTGTATGCTTATCTCATATCAGAGATGATCTGCTGTCATGATGCGACTCTTTAGTACATGTTGTGACTTGCAACATAGCAGCTACAGTTTGACCTCCATATTCATTTGTTGGATAACATCAACACCTCGCCATTTGAACATACAGTGATTCATCCTTGTTGAACACTAAATGTGCAAAATGCAAATATTTTTTAATAAAATGACATTTTCTCTGAAAACATTCTTATGTTGTCTGCAAATGCATAGTGCTTTTTGAAGTATCGGTATATGGAAAATCAATTTACTATGCAGTGGACAAGTAGGATTTGAAATTCAGGATGTAAGATATCTGATTAATATCAGCCTGTGTATTCATTTTCATAATAAATGGCAGGTCATAAAAAGGTCACTAATCATCTTCAAGAATTGCTCTCATCCCCACATTTTCTGCTTGTTCTCTATTTAATATTTTACAAATGTTATTTTTTATTGAAAATAAAAAAAATTATCCACTATTATGTTGCCAAACGTTGATTTGTGAAAGGTGCACTTATAAAAGAGAAGGCAACACTAGAATTGTAACTCTGTGAATATATTATCGCAAGAACAATTGAAACACATTGTGCAATGTTGTATTCCCATGATTCATTTTACCAGAGGAAAGAGCTAGCAGAAATTGTGTTCTTACAGTTTAGAGAAAAACTAATGTACCATGGGTGTCAAACCCATTATTTAAGAGAACAATAATGGACAGTGAAGTCCTTTATTTCAATTATAATACTCCAAAATGTGAAAAAATTTAAATATATGTGCAGTAGTACATGTGTTAAAAAACAATTGAATCATGTGTTTAAGGGAGTCAATGACAGTAATTATTCAGATGAGAGTGACCAGGATTTCCCCAACGTGAAAAAATCATAATGCGATTGTTGATTGATTTACACACAACCTTCTCTGTGTGTTCGTGTATTAATCTCCAAACACTGCCCAGTTCTCTTCTTATAACCAAACATCACATGGTACCTGTCAACCAATGAGAACGTGGCATTTCAATGTGGGTATAAATAAGCTAGGATTTCTAGATAATAAGTTTTAATTAGATATGTATAAATGACAAATTCAGTGGATTGACATTTGATATAGATCATCTTTGGCTTATTTCTCTAGTGATGATGACGATGTGCCAGATTTAGTTGATCAAGGCTCCAGTGATGAAGAGACAGAGTTTAGTAATGCCAATATTAAAAAAACTGCTAAAGTGAATATACAGTCCTTGCCTGAAGAAGTAAATGGACTTCCGCCACTGGTTGATTTAGAGTCAGATGTAGACTCAGATTCAGTGAGTTTAATTGAATTGCACATTCTTTCAGTGATGATACGTTATTTACATGTACATGTAGTAATATGTCAAGTAAAAAAATGTTTTTATTACTGTTTAACAGGATGCACCGTCTGGCGGTTCACTCAAAGAACCACTTATTTCAGTACCCCACCCCATTCGTAGAAGTGAACAAAAACCTAAAACTAAAAATGATTCTAAAAAGGTAAGTTGATATGTGTGTACGGTAGTTAGTGTACCTTCATTAAACCTAGTACAGCTG